GGGGGGGGAAGCGAGCAGGGCTTCCCCGAAGCACATGCCCTGGGGTTACCATCCTCCAGGTGGGGCCTGGAGATCTCCCGTCATTACTGCAGATCCCCAAACGACAGAGATCGGTTATCCCAAAGGAAATGGCTGCTTTGGAACGTGGACTCCATGGCATTATACCCGACTTAGGTCCCTCCCCTCCCCAAACCCCAGCCTAGGGTTGCCAGCCTCCAGGTGGGGCCTGGAGATCAGCTGATCCCCAGCTGACAGAGACCAGCTCCCCTGGAGGAAACGGCTGCGTGGAAGGGCGGACTCTAGGGCACTGTGCCGTGCCGAGGCCCGTCCCCTCCCCAAACCCCGCCCTCTCCTGGCTCCACCCCCAAAGTCTCCAGGTATTTCCCGACCCAGACCTGGCAATCGTAGCCTAGTTTCATTAGGCTCCACCCCCCTCTGAGGTCCATCCCCAAATGGCCAAGAGTTGCCCAACCAGAAACTGGCAACCCTACAATCCCCCCATCCCCAGTGGTGTTGTAGGCACATTTTATGAACCACTTTGTACTCTGCCACTGCCCAGCAGGTTTAACTTAGTAGGTGCTCTGAACGCTTCCATGGTGCAAATGTCAAGTGCCTTTGGTGATTCTAATCACAGTGACTGAAATCAATCATGAACATCTATTCGGATATTCACTCTGGTTCATTGTTTAAAAGCATCCTGGGTAAAATGACTAAACGCTGACAGGCAATCATACTACAGTGACCCTGCTTGTTCTGGGCAGCTACAACTGCACATGTTTCTGCCCCCGGCAAATCCCCCCCCCCCCCGGTCTTAACCCAATGGGAAATAGGTGATGAAATTTGACAATGCTTGATGGAACCAATAATTCTGTTTTATTTCTCTGATGTAATCTCTCCTTATATATAATTGAATAGTGGTTGCCAAAGTTCTAATTCTAAAATGCACTCCCTTAGTGTATGGCTGATGGCACTGCTCCTCAGCATATATCACCACCAATCAGAAGGCAAAGCCCGGGTCCCGCCCACACCACAACTGCTGCGACAACCTGGTCTTTTGCATATGGAAGCTGATTGGACTTCACTCCATTCCACACCTCAAACTCCCCCCCCCGCAAGGCAGTTGGAATGTCAGTTGCATATGGAACCTGCTGTATTCTGGTGGTGTGCAGGTCCCAGATTCATGTTTTAAAAGCAGACTGACACTGTTTGCCCAAAGCCAGAGCACTCTCCCAGAGCCTCTTTCTAGATCCCGTTGTATTTATTTCCTTATTTCTAGTGTGAGGTATAAAACCCTATGTCTCCCATTGTAACCTTAGGGAGAGCTGCGGGGTCCAAAACCTTATTGGATCTGCACCTCCCTCCTTTGTTGATCAATAAAGTACAAGATCTGATTCTCCTCTACAAGACTGCCGTGTGCTTTCTCAAATTGGGCTGGGGGAGCACAACCTTTGATGGAGTTTCTGTCTTACAGTAGCCAGGAGGGATCTGGCAACTTTGGCAGAGATGTGTATGGAGCCAAACTGGACGAGTGCTGGGATTTTGTTTCTGGGCTGGAGCTCCCCACTGTTTTATTAGGAACGGTTGTTTTGAGCAGCTTGAGTTCAGCGGTCCCCGATTCTGGACAGTAACAA